TCTTTGGCTGAGATGCCTGAATGCCAAAGGGGTATAAGGCTGATTCTTGAATTATGTCTTTCAGAAGGTTTTGATACATTCCCAACGCTGCTGTGTGCTGATGGATGCTCTATGATTGATCGCAGAATGGTCAGTCTGATGTACTCTCCTCTCCTTATCGTTTTTACCTAGATCTGACTTATGGGTCCTGTCTTATATTCTGTTTGTTATATATGATCCTTGCATTGTATGTCAAAGACATGCTGATATCTATCAAGTGTTACTTTTAGAATTGCATTATTTAACAAACGCCTGTATAGAATCTGTCAGACTTATTACATGCTTGATTTTCTATTTCTTATTGCATGATGACGGTGATTTTCTATTCTTCTTCTTTTTATCGTCCTTTTCTTTTCCCCTTCTCCCTTTTTCCCTTTCATCATTCGCTGCTGTGTCTGGCTGTTAGAAATATTATTGCTCGTCGTGAATGGCAAAGCCCCACTTTTGACTTGGGCTAATTTAGGCTTCGAACAGGAATTCAGCTGAGATAGTCACGCCCTTTGCTAGAATAGAAGCAAATGGAAGAGCAAAGGTGTATGTTTAGAAATAGGTTTAATGTGTTCTCTCCCTGCTAAAGGGCTTTATTAGTTTCATCATCTATGGAGGTAGTCATGCTTGTTTAATCTCTAAATTGTTTGCGCGCAATTGAAGCCAAACAAGGAGGTGTAACTGATTCCTTAAGTTGCCATTTGAATATCTGCTTCATCTTGTACTCCTTCCTCATATTTATCTTCTCCTCAGTTTAATGAAATTGACTATGATCATGAGTGGAAGTCTCCATATAGTTTTGTACACCATGAATTTTTCAATCATTGCAGTCCAATTTCCTTTTAAATACCCACTCGCTCGATAGACTCACAGGTTTTAAAAACTTTGTTTCATATTGTTACCAGGGTGTCTATGGTTATCCTATTGAAATACAAGCGCTTTTCTTTATGGCCTTAAGATGTGCCTTGCTTCTCCTTAAACCCGACGAAGAAGGCAGAGAGTGTTGTGATGCAATAATCAAACGCCTTCATGCTTTAAGCTTTCACATGAGAAGTTACTTTTGGCTGGACATAAAACAGCTGAATGATATATACCGTTACAAAACTGAAGAGTACTCTCACACTGCGGTAAACAAGTTTAATGTGATGCCAGATTCCCTCCCGGACTGGGTTTTTGATTTCATGCCAAGTCGTGGTGGTTACTTCATTGGAAATGTTAGTCCTGCTCACATGGACTTTCGTTGGTTTTGTTTGGGCAACTGTATTGCAATTTTGTCATCTTTGGCTACACCTGAGCAAGCTTCGGCCATAATGGATCTTGTTGAATCAAGATGGCAAGAGCTAGTAGGAGAAATGCCGCTAAAAATCTGTTATCCCGCTATGGAAGGTCATGAATGGAGGATTGTAACAGGATGCGATCCTAAAAACACTAGTTGGAGTTATCATAATGGTGGAACTTGGCCAGGTTAGATTTTCTTCCCAAGTATTCAACACCCAAAAGTACTTAAATCTATTTGACGTTACTTTCTTATTTCATCCGCATCATGATGCACAGAGATTGCATGTGTACTTGTTGGGTAGCAAATGATACACAACAATTTCCTACTCCTCCTATTCCATTTTATGTGAATCAAACTTTGCACTTTCTATTTTAGTGACATGATTTTGTAGTCACAAAAATGTCATGTCATGGCATAGTTAAACTTCCATGCCAAATTCCAAAGTGGTCCGAAGTGTTCTTAAACTTCCGCCAAACGCCTTTACATTCAATGAAACGGAGGGAGTACTATTCATATTCTCTGCTGTGATATTTACTTTTCTGTGTACTGATTTGTGTGGTTTCTTGTCTAGTTCTTCTGTGGCTCCTTACTGCAGCAGCTATCAAGACTGGTCGACCCCAAATAGCACGACGAGCCATTGAACTAGCTGAATCGCGCTTGCTAAAAGATAGCTGGCCGGAATATTATGATGGAAAGCTTGGTCGATTTATTGGGAAACAGGCTCGTAAGTTCCAGACATGGTCCATTGCCGGTTACTTGGTAGCTAGAATGATGTTGGAAGATCCATCTCATTTGGGTATGATAGCACTCGAAGAAGATAAACAGATGAAGCCTACCATGAAAAGATCTGCTTCTTGGACCTGTTAATATCCTTGTATACAATTTCTCTTCCAAATGACATGTTTTTTTTTGGAATTCTTAATCATTCTCTTTTAGTTTGTCTCAAAAATGTCAGAATTTTTGTTGAATTGACCGCGAGATTGTACACATTACTCTGTTTTTTTCCCCGGTTAATCTGGTTTTTGTCTAAGGATGTCCATTGAATGCCAATAGATGTTTGATGTTAGCTGATCTAAGGAGTTGTTAGGAAACCCCTTTTCCATATCTACCTAGTGTAATCTAAACACAATGAATTTCTAGTTTTATACGCTGATAATGTAAAGAATGTTTAAATAAGTGTAGACCATCAATTGTGCTCGAATTTGAGATACTGCACTCCAAATCGAAATCACGCATTGTTATACACAACGGATATATTCCTAAGGTCTCCATATATACTCGAACTCCTATATCGTTCCGAATTTCTATTGGTGGAAGTATATTTGATTTCGATGATTTTTGCGGAGGTATCGATCATTAGATGCTCTGCAATTGCAGAATTCAATTGACTATAATTTGAATCTTCACTGACTACAATTCCATCAACATCAAAGTCTTTGTGTCTCCCAACGCTGTCCCAGTGGCCATTTATGCATAATCGCTAATTATGATATTATGTCGCAAAATTCAACACAATTGTAGCTAATTGATTGCAATTTTTTTTTTCAAAACCTTCGTTTATTGAAAACCAGAGAAAACCAGAGAATAGAACTTGATTATCAGAGAAATCAGTGTAATAGCAGGAATCTACCAAACAATGGCTTGATTAAGGTGCGATGACTGGTTCGATAAAATTTCTGGAGAAATATACGCGATCCCAAATTCCTGCGTCTAAATAAGGAAGACTACCGCAGAAGGGATTCTAGTTTAAACAAATGCATATATTTTGTAGGTAAAAATTGTTTAGGTCCGGTAAAAACTAAACATGGACATTTTTGATAATAAAGTTTGAAAAACTGTATAGGAACGAAAAAATCCCTTATTTATATACGTTTTAAATGTTTGGGCAATGATGGAACACCTAACTTATCCGTTTAGACACCCTTAATCAAACCATACGTCAACGCATGGGTTTAACCAAAATGCACGATGCTATCTAAAATTTCTATGTATAGGAAAAGTTAACAGCAGGCAATAGATAATTAGGCTTTTTCTGCATTTGGTGGTGGAATCTATTATTCACAGCTAAGAAAAGCTGGCACAATAGTAAGACAATGACTGTAAGCGCAGCACATCAGAAGAGTTGTCTGTTGATTATGTATTTACAACAATAGCATCTTTTTTACTCATTGAAAACATCGACATATTGATGTATTAATCTTAGTTAGGGGTGGCAAAATGGTTAAAAGAAAACAGTTAACCAACCATATCAGTGGCGGATCCAGGATTTTATGTTCGTGGGTGCTTAATTTTTTTTTGATGTGTAGTAACTACTTAATTCTTTGGTTGGTCGGTGCTTTCTTTTCGTTTTATATTAGATGCCACAAATTTCTTATATAACTATACCTATGCTATGTAAAGTTTAATGGGTGCTGAAGCACCTAAGTTTAGTATGTAGCTCCGCCCCTCAACCATATTATCCACTAAAAAATGGGTTGGATAATGAACTTTTTAAAAACGGGTTAAATATGGATAAGAACCATATTATCCATTTAGAAAATGGATAACCAATAGATAACCAACGTGTCTAACTTTTACATTTGTAAAGCCTCAAATTGGGGGTTCCTCAAGGTAGGGTGACTAAGAATTCTCTTAAAATTGATCATATACAAGAAGTCATTACCCATATTATCCGCCTGTTAACCCGTTTTTTATCCGTATTAAATATGGGTCGGGTCGGATAATTGATCCGTTTTTTCATTACCCGTTTTCGACCCTAACCATATCCGCCCCGCCCATTTGCCACTCCTAATCTTAGCTGCTAGTTTCATAAATGAAGATGGATCATAGGGTGTTGTGTGATTTCAGGAGTAATTCCATCTAGGACTCGTGTACATACATGATGAAATTACATGACGTAAATGAACTTTATCAACTATAATAATATAATCTATTTATTTATCGTCACATTAAAGTAACTAAACTACGTGTGTTCAATTGCTCAATGATCGGAAGGTCAAATTTTCTAACGTCTGTGTTATGACACATCACTTGCTATATCAACGCTCTATCAGAAAAAAGGTATCTTATCTTCTATAGAATATCTATTTGCTTGGGCCAAAAAAGTGATTTGATCTATCACGACTATGGTCGTTCCGTGCATAGGATTACATAGGTCCTTTACGGGTCGTTTGGTATAATGGTGGGATATCTCAAGATATCACATTGGTTGGGATATCCCATGGGATTATATTCGTTATCCCACCTTTTATATGAGGTAGCTAATCACATCATTTTAGTATAAAAGTTATTCTGGATGTGATAAAGTTACTCCCAAACTTTATCCCCTAATGATTATTATTCTTATCTCATGTACCAAACGACCAGCCGCAGAGGCGAATTCAAGATTTGAAGTTTATGGGTTCTTACCGATCTCGAGTTATATATACAATAATAAGTAGGTTTACAGTTAAAATTAAAATTTATAGATATTTAGTCCACTTTTTAATATAAATACAGAGTTTGGACAAAAGCTATTGGATTCACGAGAACTCATAAGCTCAAGGCTAAAACCACCCCTGGACCAGGCTAAGATTAGTTTTACTTTACACCCCCTGCCCCCATCAGCGCCTTCATGCCCAAAAGAAAAAAGAAATAAAGAAAGAAGGAAAGAAAATTAAACAAAAAGAAAAAATGATAAACATTTTCTGCGTTTTGAAATGGATATATATAAGTACTTCTTGCTCCTATATATCATTCTGTCATAGAAGTACTCAAAAGAAAGAGTGATCAATCTGAATAATTTTACAATAGCATGGGCATCTCCAAGTCCAAAGCTCTTATTGCCTCACTAATCTTTCTTCTTTTTCTCTTATCTGCTGCAGAAAATCATGAGCTTATAGCAGCAGTAATAATATTGATGCAATATCAAAAGCACTCAAAGCTCGTCCTAATTATACAATAAGTCTGCACTCCTTCCTTCTCTCTCATCCCATTCTTTTAATTTTATCGTTTGCTCGCTATATACTCCTTTCTTGAATCAGGGTTTATCAGAAAAAGCCTCTCTACCTTCAAGGTAGGTGAAATGTCTGGTTATACACTACCGTCCCCAATCCTTACTGGTGGGATCATACTGAATTTGTTGTTGATGTTGTTATTTTCTGTCTATGCTGCTCCGACTTTTCAAAAATGTTGTTGCATCCATGTCGGATCCTCAAAGCACCACTTTTAGAGGATTTAGTACGCACCCGATGACATTTTTAAAGAGTCCGAACAACATATATAGTTAATTTCCCAATATTAAAGCTAAGTTAATACGTAGTAGCTCAGGGGCGGAGCTAGCATACATGTTACGGGTTCGACCGAACCCAGTAACTTTGGTCCAAACCTTGTATTTGTCTTTAAAAAATTATTGAATATGTACAAATTCTTAATTTAGAACCCAATAACTTAAAAGAACTAGAGTATCGAACCCGGTAACTTCAAATCCTAGCTCCGCCTGTGTAGTAGCTAGTACTAATATTTATGATGATTGTTTGTTGAACAGATTGTGGAAACGAATGTACGAGGAGGTGCAAGTTAGCATCTAGACAGAAAATCTGCAAGAGAGCATGTGGGACATGTCGTGCCCGTTGCAACTGCGTGCCGCCAGGAACTTCTGGAAATGAGAATGCCTGTCCATGCTATTCTACTATGACTACTCATGGCAAAAGACGCAAGTGCCCTTAATTAGTACTTGACTCGTACGTGCTTTCAAACTGTATGCACGTGCGCCCACTACTTATATTCTAGATATGCTTCTGTGTGCGTTATTAAGAAATAAGAAAGAGTATGAGTTTAAAGGGATTGTATGATCAAGTGAAGAGCTGCTGCTGCTGCATAATTTCAAATTAAATATGGATCCCTTGGTTAATTTGGTTTGTACTTGTAGTAGTTTAAAAAATAGAGAAGTTTGAATAAATTTTAATCATACGAGACAAGGCGGAATGGGCAAATGGTATAGATTCACAACCTTTTATACGAACTCCACACTATATATGCCAACTCTATAATGTAGATATTGCTTACATTGCTTTAGCTTGAAAAATAGCATGAATAAATACTGAGTTTTCATCATTGATTCTGTGAAAACCAACCCTAGGTCCGCCGTTAGAGAACTTCGAGCTATACGAGAGAAGCTCTGGTGAGCAACAGTGAAGAAGTTTCTAGAGAGAGAAAGGCAAAATCTCATTAATTAGAATATTAGAATCTGTACAAACAAGAGTATATCTAAACTAATATATCCCATTAACTAATAGCTGCCAGCTAACTAATACACACACGTGCTAACTAACTAGATGGGCTATCCAGAAGAGTATACCTTAAATAGCTAACTGTACAACAACATTAACTACTTACCTCTACACTCCCTCTCAAGTTGAGAATGAAAAATATTTTTCATTCCCAACTTGGATACTAGAACTGCATGTTGTCAATGCCCCAATGCCGTTGTCGGAATATCAGCTAGTTGCTCCTGAGTGGCTATGTGTGCAGTCTCTATCAACCCTTCTTGTATCTTCTCTCTGATGAAATGACAATCAATGTCAATGTATTTTGTTCTTTCATGGTATATGGGATTTGCATCAATCTGCAGAGCAGCTTTGTTGTCACAGTACAAATCCATGGGCAGCTTGACATTCACTCCTAGCTCTTTCATCAACTCATTCAACCATATTAGCTCAGCTACAGTTTGTGTCGTGCTTCTATATTCTGCTTCAATTGAACTTCTGGATATGGTGCTTTGTTTCTTGGCTTTCCACGAGATAAGTGAGGTTGGACATAGGGAAAGATGCCCAATCAGAATCACAGAATGCTCCTATCTTTTCTTAACCTCTGCTTGACATTAACAACCTAAGACATGGCTGCTTCTTTATGTACTTCACTATATGCAAAGCTGTTTCACAATGAGATGTCTTTGGTGCATGGATGAATTGACTCAAGTATTGCACTGCATATGCAATGTCTGGCCTAGTATGGTCAAGTATAATAACTTTCCAATGAGTCTCTGAAAGCTGTTTCTGTCCTTCAATGGCTCATCAGTAGTTCTTTGCACATACCCATCATATTTTGTACTCGTTAACTTCAGGTTTTGTTCCATAGGGGTGTCCTTAGGCTTTGAACCTGATAGTCCTGCTTCTGATATCATCTATAGAGCATACTTCCTCTGAGACATTAGGATGTCTTCTTCAGACCTAGCAAATTCCATTCCCAGAAAGTACCTAAGCTCTCCAAGATCTTTCAGTTTGAATCTTTTATGTAAGACACTTTTAGCTCGATGTATCTCTGCCAAGTCATTACCTGTGACAAGTAAACCATCTACATAGACAAGAATAAGTACAAACTTGTTGTTAGTAGTCTTAGTGAATATGTAATAATCATGGCTGCTCTACTGAAAACCAGATGATAGCAAGGCTTGTGTCAGCTTCACATTCCATTGTCTGGAGGTTTGTTTCAAACCATATAGAGATTTGAGTAGTCTACATACCTTATGCTTCCCCTGACTACCAAATCCCCGAGGAAGAGTCATGTAAACCTTCTCAGCAAGATCACTATTCAGAAAAGCATTATGGACATCCATTTGATACACAGGCCAATGCCTAAGGGCACCAATGGCTATAACAGTCCTTACTGTGGTCATCTTGGCCACAGGGGAAAAGGTATCATGGAAGTCAATGTCTTCTTGTCATGTATATCCCTTAGCAACTAGTCTAGCTTTTAACCTTTCCACATTTTCATCAATATTATACTTGATTTTGTAGACCCATTTGCAGCCTATGAGCACCTTACCAGGTAAATCAACCACATCCCAAGTATGATTTTGTTCTAAAGCTTCAATCTCAAGGTTCAAGCCTTACTGCACCTATCATCTTTAATGGCTTGAGAGTAATAAGTAGGTTCAGTATCAACAGAGAAAGAAGCAAGAAAGGATTGAAAATGAGCAGGAAGATGAGAGTAAAAAAGCAAAACGGTGAATAGGATAAAGGCAGGAAGTAGAGGCTGAGGGTAAAGGAGGATGAATGTAATCAATCAGCCAAATGGAAGGCTTAAGTGTTCTACCAGATTTTCTGGGCAACAAAGAATCAGTAGGTGGATCAGATGGACCAGGTGTAACAGCAGAAGTAGGATTAGGAGGTGGAGCAGGTGAACTAATAGATGGAGACTGAGTGATGGGATCAACAGGAGGTGAAGGAATTTCATTGAAATTTAGATTATGGTCAGTTGTAGGAGATGGCAGGGGATCAGAAATAGGAAAAAAAAGGAAGAAGGAATAGAAGATGAATCAGGAGCAACAAGGAATTTACTCCTGGGATGTTTTAAAGGATAAACATTTTCTTTAAAGATAACATCCCTGCTAACTATAAATTTATTAGCTTCAATATCATAGATTCTATATCATTTTTGAGTAGTAGCATAGCCCATAAAGACACCAGGGACAGATTTGGGAGTGAATTTATCATGAAAATATGATTTTGTGGCATAACAAAGACATCCTAGAGTTCTGATGTGAGCAAGAATAGGGGGTTTACCATGAAAAATCTCATAAGGTGATTTTCCATGTAGGACAACACTTGGTAGTCTATTAATTATATAGGTGGAAACAAGAATGCAATCCCCCAGAACCTCAAGGGTATGTTAGCCTGAAATCTTAAGGCTCTTCCTACTTCTAGGATACGTCTGTGTTTCCTCTCCACAACACCATTCTGTTGTGGAGTATAGACACAACTGCTCTAATGAAGGATCCCCTTAGCTTTGAAAGAGTAGAACATAGAGTATTAAAAACTCATGACCATTATCTGACCTAAAAGTGATCACGCCCTATTATGCCTTATAAAAAGGACTAAGCGGTCGTTGTAACTATAATCTGGTCTAAGAGTCCGGAGTCGGATCCCACAAAGAACTAAGGTTTAGTTATAATTTTTTACTATCACTAAGAAGACAAGCTCAAACAATTCCTTTGTTATAAATATTAAGATTCTTATGCTTAACTAATTAAATAATAAATTAAAGCAATAAATTAATAACTAAAGATACTAGGGGTTGGAGAAAAGATTAAGGAGGTCTAGATTTATGATTTCCCCAATTGTCGGAATCCTTCCCCCTACATTTTCTATAATTTCGCCTAAGTATTCCCTAGCGATCGTTAGTATTGTGGGTGTCATAATTCTCTCTTGAGCAACTACCATAATTTACTAGACATATTCTCTCTAACTACGCTAGCTAACACTAATTCACCGCTCACTACGATTGCACCAAGGTTTCATTATCTCTAATCCCGCCTTTAACCCTCCGTATTGATCTCTCACATATGTTAGGAGTGGTGTTGTTCAACAACTACCTAAATGTGTACTCTCTCTCGACCAATATACATACTAAATAGGCACAGTCAATTGATGAACATTCAATCAACAACAATAAATACGTAGTTGAACAAGTAGATAAATCCAACTGCAAAATTATATAAAAACAAAACAAGAATTTGTCCTACAAAAGGTTCCATCAAAACCCTAGATATCAAATTAGCTATTCATAATAGTATATAAAACTACAATACTAGAATTCATAACCAATAATGAAAATAGGAAGAAGGAAGTGAAAAACTCATAGAAAAATTCTCCGCCTTGCTCCTAGTGTGTTCTTGCCTCTTAAAAAAATGTTTAGGAATCCGGGTCGGAGTCTTCTTTAAAAAACATCCTCCTTGGTGGAGTCTTCTCTAAAAAAAACAGCTCTCCTCCTCTCAGACATGTTTAGGGAGTATTTATAGGCTAGGGTTTAAGTCCTTGAGTCCAAATACGGGTCGGAGTCTTTTAACCCGTGATTTTTAATTACGGGGGACATCACGAGGCCAGTCTTATAGCCGGTCAGCCTGGCTACAGACCTCGCGAGGCCAGGCTTATAGCGCGGTCAGCCTGGCTAAAGAGCGGGCTATGCCTGGACTGTAGCGCGGTCAAACTGGTTATAGAGGTGGCTTTACTTGGTCTGTAGCACGGTAAGGCAAGCTATAGAGGTGGCTTTACTTGGTATGTAGTATAATTTGGGTACTTGATGCTTTTGTGCTCTTTTCTTGCATTTTTGTCCTCTTTTTGTGCAACTTCCATTCGTCTTTGTCTTCCGGTGCTCCTACACATAAAATTACATAATTTAGCTCAAACGTCGTTCAATTAACCACTAAACTAATAACATGTAAGGCGAGTAATGTACTAAAAATATAGTATTTTGTCCACACATCAAAAAGTCTTAACAGTGGTTGAGAATTGATTTTCAACAAGGTGTAGGAATTCAGTTGAAACAACATACACATCAACTTTTAACCTCAAAAGAAAAGTCCAAGTCATTCTTGAATAGTCATCAACAAGAGTAAGAAAGTAATTGAACTCATTGTACAGACTCTATATGGACCCCACACATCCATGTGTACAAGTTCAAAGACACAATTAGACTTGGAAATACTAACAAGAAAAGGTAACCTAGTTTGTTTAGCTAGTGTACATACAGGACAATGACAAGTAGAAGTACAGGACAGTTGTTTATTTAGAGTAGGAATCTTTTGTAAGACTGAAAGAGGTGCATGAGCTAGCCTTTGATGCCATAATGCACTTGAATTTGATTGAACTGAAGTAGACACACAATTAGAAGTAAAAGTAGTAACAAGTGTTGAGGGATTGAGGATGTAAAGACCACCCTTAAGCTTACTAATCCCCTTCATCATGCCACTGAAGAGGTCCTGAAAGACATAAAAATCATAATAGAAATGGACTGAGGTATTCAACTCTTTTGTATATCTAGAAACAGAGAGCAGATTAAACTGGAATTCAGGGACATAAAGAACATCATAAAGAACTTCTGAATTATGCAAAGTACATGGTCCAGTATGGG